AAAGGTTAAATTAAACAAAGTGAGAGAAAAAGGAATTAAGAATAATTAACACAAACGTTTGGTAATCCAATCAAATAAGGATTACCAAGGTAGGTTAAGAGTAATGACAAACTGTTTTTGAATACACAAGGGGGGCTTAAGTCTATGAATAGCTATAGCCTCAGCGTATTTCAATAAACGCCCTTGACCGTTTTTATAGATGACCTTAAAGGCTGAGTTAACATCAATCTTATGGTTCATCTCGATTAGATGTTTAGCTATAGACGAATTTGGTAGTCTGCCACCTGCATCTATTAGCTTGTCACAGTTCATCTGTTTTTCTAACCATTTTGGGATATGCTCTCCCACCCTCACGTGCAACGCGCGATTACTCCTCCCTATGTATGTATGTCCACACACACACGAAAATTGGTAAATTGTATGGGATGTGATATAATCACTTGTTCACTTTTGAGGATTACAGTGAAGCATATTTTTGGCTTTTTCCACAATTACAAGCTGGGCAGCATAGTAGGTCCTACAGATGATTGAATTCAACCTTTGTCTCACAATCCTACTATTTATTTCCCCGTTATATGGTAATTTGATAAAAACCTTTTTCTTAGGGACGGTATGGATTGTAGGTTTAGAGGCTAGTTGACTTCTACACCTGTTTAAAAATTTCGTTTTCTCTGTCCATAACATTCCTTTTTCTCTCACTTTGTTTAATTTAACCTTTCTATATATATTGACTTGACAAGTAAATGTGTGAGGGATCAGATTGTTCGAAATGTATAGCGCTAATACATCACATTTTTCAGACAGTCTCCGTCTTCTAATAACGCTATCAAAATTTATAAAAGGGACTAATTGTTTTACATTTACTATCATAAAGAAAGATGAAAAAGAAAACTTTCTTGCAGAGATTAACTTAGTCTCAAAATATTTAGAGATTACTAATGAAGTAGAATCAGTGGGGGGGAACTCTAAACTTTCTTGATTGCCTTGTAAAAAAAAGACAAACGGAGGCGAAACTAAAGTTTACTATATACAGAAAGCCGACACATTCCAACAAGTATTTGAATTTCCAATCAGATCATCCAATACGAATCAAAGTTTCAGTAGCTTTAAATCCCGTTAACAGATCTAGAGACATTATAATAGATAATGATGATATGGAGAACAAGATCTTCGATATATATAACAGGTTTTGTTTGGAAATCGTTATCTGAAAAAGCTGCTAAATAATAATATTATCAACAGAAATGGGCAGAAGTGAAAACTCCTGGCTATTGACAACAGTCATTCCATATCAAAAGGAGATAGCTGGACAACTTCAAAGATTACTTGCCTCATATAATATTCAAGTCTATTTCAGACCCTCGAATTCCCTGGAGAAAGCTTCGGTGAATTTCAAAGATATGACACAAAACACCTGTATATATATTACAAAGTGTTCAGAATGTGAAGCTTACTATATTGGGGAGAACAGTAGACCGTTGAAGGTCAGATTGAGTGAACACAGAGTATACACGAAAAGTCCACCTAAAAATGAAGTAGTATAAAAAGTTCAGAAGAAAGATCGCCTATAGCAGTGGATGCGATAGACAGCACACATAAGATTGATTTGGATAATGTCAACATTCTTGGAAGACGCTTCCATACACATAAAGACAAGTTGACCTCTGAATCCTTTCACATTCTAACTACAGTAAAGAGGAGAGAATGGATGGACTTATCACCTATATGGTAAACTCTAATGAAGCAAGACAGATGAGGAAACCAACAAAAACCTCTGTAAACCCCCGTGACCTATGTAAAAACATATCATCACGTTTATTACAAGTGAACAAACGTCTTTTCCATACGACAAATAACATACACCATCACATGCTCAAGCAGACAAATATACACACGTGACAATTTGACAATGATCATTACAAATACATGATAACTGCTTATATTTTCCTATTTGTACAAATGTCTTTTGACAAGTGACTTAAATTTATGTAATTTTTGTCCCCATATTTTCGACTAAACAATAAGAAGATAAAGTCGCGTGAGTTTGTTGATAAGCTTCCTAGTAGGAAGACCATATGTATCAACGATATAAGAATAGAGCTTGTGCACTCTGGTAGTGTGTAATTAAACAGTGGGTAAAATTTACTTTGAGAAAGTCTCACGGTGATATTATCAAATCATTTTTATAGATAGGTTTAAAAGACGTGTAAACATCGATTTTAGGTCCTGTCTGTATAATATGCGTGGTAGTAGAGGAGCAAAACCTCCTGTTCTCACCATTAATAGGTTCTGTGGATTCTATTTGCTTCTGAGGAAATTTAGGAATATACTCTGAAACTCTTAATTGCGGAGATCCATGAGTCCTCCCTACGTATGTGTGTCCAAACGAAAATAGTATTCCTAAATAACAAGGGTCAAATTAACATGTGATATGCTAATGCCAGAAGAAATTATGAACAATCTGTGATGAAAACTTATAATGATAACAAAGTTAGTTGAAACATGCAAATAATTATTAATATTATGACTAGACAGTTCAGTGGGGATTATCCAACACAGTTATCCCGTCACAACCACAGCTCCCATGTTATATTCTTGTATTATTTTCCATACTGACATCCACCTGTTGGCCTGAAGCAAAAATGGTCTACCAGCTCACCTTGTAACCAGAAGGTCTTGGGCTCGAACCCCAGTGAGTGCGCGCTACTGAAGAGTCTCAAACTTGGACGAAACGCCTGTCCATTACTCCCAGGATTCCCAAGGGTTCTCTAACCGATGTCAGTTCATGATGAAATCCTGTAACCAAGCAATCGAATCCCTACACACCAAAACTTGAAGTTATCAGAACTCTTAGTGAGTGTAAAGTGAATACGATTTTGCAGGCCGACTATAGATATCAGGTGTGCGTCGGTCGGAGGTCGAACCCCGGACCATGTGCATGATCGACGAGAGTCATAACCACTGTGCTACCGGAGCATGACACGACAACTGAACTCACATTTCACTCTTTCTATAATAAATGCATATACCTGCATTGATCGAATGCTGACCGGTGGTTTGCAATTAGTAGGGAATTATTCAACACTTTTTCTCAAAGAAACTAAACAAAGTTGGCTTACATAAGTGAAGTTAGTGATATGCTCTGAACTCAAGAAAGTTTATCAAAATTGAATCTCTGTTTGCTGCATTGTAGCCAGTGAATTGTCAAGTAGATCTCTTGTAGCACTATTTATAGGTTCAACTGTTTTACAATTATAAAGACCTTTTTTCATTTATTCTCCTATTTGATTGCATACATATATGCATGAGTTTTACAAACTCCAGTGATTAGTTAACAACACTAGTTAGAGCAACTTCAGTTTCACTTAGTAGGCTTTAGATACTCATTAAAATAGATTTCCTAGTTGTCCTTCGTATTCACACTCTCTTTCCTCTTTACACAGGACGGTAAAAGTAGAGACCTTTGTAGAAATACAATCTCACAGACACGTGATAACGTCATGAATATTACTTTAAAGCTGTATAGAATTTCATTTCCTAGAGGAAAACTATTAACATGTGTAGAGTCGCTCCTAAAATGTCCAATGTTGTCCCAAATTTCTGGGGTTAAATGACTAGACAAACATAATATGTTTATTCACCCTGTGAAACCCTAGATGGACATGGGTTTCAGCAGTACATCGCTATTTCCCCTGTTCTATATAGCTGTTTTCTATCTGAGTCTCCCGGTGACCATGGTATGCGGTGTCATGCAATGTCCTCCACAGTGTATGTATGATGTTCAAACCACTCCCAATTTCCTTCTACAAACTTGTTAGGTGACAGGTTTTTTATGGTTTCGTTGCTAAAGTTGTTTTATGCTGCTACTTGATTGTCAAGTACTTCATCTTTCGTATTGAATGAAAGCTGGAGATTTTGAAGAAAGTCTGAAGTGACCTGTTGAAAATACTTCTGATGAAGCTCACCCAAGTGGCGTCTGGATGACAAACATAGTCACTGGCTGATTTAACATTATTGTTGAAAATCAAAGTGTGTTGGTTTTCCTCAATCGCACTTCATAAACTCCATTGCCCTTTCATGATATTAAACAACTCCTCATTAACATTTGAATTTCACATAAAACTGTTAAGACAAACAAAGCGCTAAACAGGATAATGAAATTATAGCCAATTTGAAGTAAAGTTTTTCTTTAATTGTACTTCATGTGATTGACTATTTACCATAAGGGTTGTATCGATGTTTTCTAAAAAGGAGTATTGGGTAAATATGCGTTATTGAATAATAATCCCACCCAAAGTCTCCAAAAGAAAAAAAATCGACATTAAGGAGTTACTGTTAGTTTACTTGAAATGTATCTACACATATTATTAACTAATCCACTAAATGTTTCCATCGAATGATGTTTTTGTTTTCCTATCTGTAGGTCGATTTCATATCACCTTAACAATATGACAAGATATGTAATCATAAGCAAACCACTTCTTTGTAATCAAATACCAGCGGAATAAACTAGGCTCTCACCTCCATCGTAAACATATTCATATATATATATATATATATATATATATATATAATTAATAGTTTCCCCGTGTTTTAACACATTTTGTTATCACCCAAAGACTCCGGTTTTGAAGAGACCACTTTAGTTTGATCCTTGTACACACCCATTCACTCGCCTACTCACACCTTCCATCTGCCCTCAATCTCTCCCTCAACCTTCTACTACTTGTAGTACTTGTCCTACATAATATACGTTTTGCCGAGTTTATTCAAATTTTATTTTATTTATTGTTTTCACATAAAGTTGAAAACAGAGATAAATGTGAGTTTGTCAACATGTGAGTCGACATAAGCATGTATATACACCTATCTCCTCTATATGCCTACGAATTCATGTGTGTATGTGTCTATTAAAACACCATGGTGACGACAGAGAGAGTGAAAAAAGTAGTGCGTAGTGATTACATTACTGCATCAATGCACATCGTTTTTTATTTCTTCTTGTTGATGGTCATATCCTTCATCATAATAAAATATTAATTCATTTTGATGAATGGTAAACTCAGTGAGTGAGTGTCGCTCAGTTTACTCAACAGGAAATGTGAAATACTGCTAAATGCCTACTCTAAACGACTATCCATGCTCTTTCATTATGTCAAGAAATAATAATAATAATGTGAGTTAACTATGAGTGTGTGGTTTTTAGACTTTTTAATTCCCTCATTATATTTGCCTTTATTAAATATTAGTAATAATGATAGTCTTATTCTGAAAAATGCGTTTATTCACAATACAGAACCGTTCAGACGTTACTGGTTACAAGATATTTACTCCATGTGTAGAATCCTCAGGTCATATGACAGCGATGCAGTTTTATCTAATTCATTCTATTTTTATTTTATTTTTTATTACAGCTTGATTCCTCACCGTATTCTTGGTACAGGTATGAAATTTTCACCATGTGACATCGGTAGCCCAAATTTTCCAGGCCGACCATAGATATTAGGTTTTCGTCGGCAGGGGAACGAACCCCGGACCACGTGCATGATCGGTGAGAGTCCTAACCACTGTGCCACCGACGCATATGACATCCACGATGTCCCCCCTCTGTTTCATTCAAATAGTTCGAAATAAGAGGTTCAGACTTACTAGAAATTGTGTCTGAGCGTACATTCTGACTCAATAAACACAGTAGGACGATTAAAAACATGATGCATTCAGGCGGATAGGAAATTTTAGTAGTCCAGAGACTTAAGCAGGCCGGCAAACAATTGAATGTTTAGTCTTATTTTTGTGTCGTTATTGCAGTTAAATGTTGAAAGACAAATAAGTATAGATAGTTTTATTTTAGCAACACATAAATATAATAACCAAGTGTTTTAGGAAAATTGTCAATTCCACAAGTTGAAATTACCTAATTTAAAGTATTAACTGGAAGCAATTACAGATTCTGAATAAACAAGGTCAAAAATTGTTTGTTATTCTCTATGTTAGCGAACTTTTGAATAAAGCGAGAACAACAGTGGTTTGTGCGGAATAACACGGTACCATCATTTATTTCGTTGGCTTATCATCAGCTGCTTAGAGCCTAAATAAATTTTGAGGTTTAAGTACAGAAACTTTTTAACATACTTGCAAATTTTACATGTCGTCAGTTGACAGAAAGCTCCACAATTAGTTAACAGTGTTCAGAAAATTGCGCTTATATAGTTTTTACACAGACAGTTCAAGTTAAAACAAAATAAATGTATGCATATAATGGTAAGGGAGTTACATAATAAAGATGAGATGTGCGTTAGATGCATAGTGACTAATAATTTAGGTAACAATGTACTGAGTTGAACTCAAATCATAGAAACAAGAGACGAGCAAAGTTACAGATTATAAAAGAAGGGTGAGGTTAAAGACAAAGATTACGTAATCAGATGAGAGAAAACAAGACATCCAGTTACCAGGTGGGCAAGGAAAGACCAATAATTGATTCTTTCTGAACGCATAAATCTGGTTTCAAGCGTTTGATAGAAACTGCTTCGACAAACTTGAGAAGAATGGAGCTCATTTGTCTATTGATATTTTTGAAGGATTTCTCGATTTCCACCTCATGACCCGTGTCGAGGAGATATCTGGTAATAGCGCTGTTACAAGAGTTTGTTCCTTGGAGACGTGGGCTTTTCGGCGAACTTTTACTGAACCCAAATTTATGGTTTCTGTTAATATGATAACTCCTAGTTTGGACGCTTCATCGCTTTATCCTACTTAAGGTAGTTAGTATTGCAAACCATCCTGAATATTACACCCAATTTTAGGCTTATCAGCTAGATGCACATGTACCCTCAGTGAGGAAACTCATTGAGCAGTCGCCTAATGGATGACTTCTTGTCATTTGATGTTTGGTCCATATATTCATGGAAATATCATCCCCTACAAGTAACTTTTATGTGCTAAGTTATCTGGAGACAACGATGCGGAGATTTCATTATCACTTTAGATGATGAACATTAGTGACCGTAACATGAAACCGCATCACAGATGAGAAGACGCGTCTTGCTGATGGCCTTGATGACAACTAACTGCTTCCCTTACTTAATAGCTAAACTGCGACCTAAGTATTTCTCGCAGTTATATTTTCCTTCGCAATCAGTTGTAAACATTTAAATGAACATCATCCTGGTGATTCAGTTCAAGCAAATAAATTAAATCGAATAGATTTATGCCTTTTGTAGAATAACCAACTTCCTGACATAGACAGTTTTCTCACAACTATGAGAAAACCATAGTTTTTTAACATCTGAAAATTCGGTAACCCACAGAGTATAGTTACTGGTAGAATGCTCACCAGCAATTCAGGTAATCCGGGGTTCAGTCCCGGTCAATGCACTCCTTTTCTTTACTGAGCCAATAATAAGACTGGTAAAAATGGAAGGTTGGGTATCAGCCTAGCAACCACACTCTATAAAAATAAAAGTATTACTCCTGAAATTGCAAACGTCTAGCTTGAAGCTCTATATATATATATTAATATGATAATCAGTTTCATGAAACAAAATTCATTTACCTAACCTAATTGGCAATTCAGCAGGCTTTGCGCTATTATTTCGCGACAAAACATTTCCTCAGTGTGCAGCAAGCGTCACCATTTTCGAGCCTATCCCAAGCCAGAAAAAGTGTTAATGACGGCTGTGAAGCTGGCGAACATACGTCATTAAAATAACCCATTTGTTGTCGAAAATTGAAAGCTTAGATAAAGTAAACTTATTGCTACTGGGGTTAGGAGGGACGGATAACGTTCGACAGAGAAAGCCTTTGGGAAACCAATCAACAGATATGTACTCCTTTTGTGTAAGTAGTGGTAATTACACTGACATAGAATATCCTCAAGACGTTTGAGGCTGTCAAAGACGACCAGATTACAGAAGAACTGGTAAAATACCACACTGAAATTTTACGAATTTATGAGAGTAGTACAATGCTCATGAAGTACCTCGCCAGTCTACTTGATACCCAATAAGTGAATCATCATAATGGGATGCGTTTGCCGATAAACCGATTACTCCCATATTCAGTCATTCTGTTACTCAGTGTACAGGGTTTACAAGGACTTATGGAAAATTTCCTCTCACATAAGTCTAATGAACCTATAAAACTCGTTAAAATCTGCACTGGATTCTCACCATTTTCAGCTAACTTGTTATCAAAGAATTTGATGAAAATGTGTCACTTACTATTTTAGGTGTTGTCATAACACCGCGCATTGAATTCACAATATTAAAACAATTAAGCTAATCAAGTATGTTGGTGCTGTTATTGCTTTCCACATCTCACTGGAACAAATTATGCTTGCTACTCTTCCTGCTTATAAGAATATCATCCAACATTCAAGAGCATATGACTCAATTTATTCCGTCAACAAATTGCAATCAAAAAATTTATCAAACAATTAGCGATACAAATGAACAAGTTTCAGCTTTATGTTGGTTAGCTGATGCCAATTTCACATCGTTACAACTGCTGGACAGTTGTTTAGGTAAATTATTGTCTATTGTAAAGAGTTTAATATTTGAGATTTATTAAATCATTGCTTCTGAATATTTCAGAGTGAAAAAGCCATACTGAATGTGCTTAATTTATTCTTATAATTTATCAGTTACTAATTCAATTTTGAATTTTCAGCAATCTCCGTACGGTGAGGGTTTCAATAAATGTACGTACTTCACATAAAATTTCATAAATGACTGACCCAACAGCCAAATGTTAAAACGATTTCAACCTCATTAACCAATTATTGTGATCAGTGGTTCTACGTTAGTAGGCTCACCAACCACATATGTAGCCCACATTTATTTTTTGATTGACGCACTCTTAAAATTTGCTTTACCATTAATACGCCCGGTGATTGACAGAAGGTTGCGCGTGAGACTAGCAGTCCTATCCTGCAAGACCAATACCACCACTACTGAAAATTCACAGCTATATATATATATATATATATATATAAAGATAGCCCCTTGAATCAATAAATAATGCTGTTTTCATAAAATATTCGACGGTTGTTTGACCATTTATAGTTAGGGTTGTATTTTCACTTAGATGAAGAGTGGTCCTTCAACATGAAATATCTTTATGATGAGGTTTTGATTCCTATTGAATGTAACTTTGAAATAGGCCACTCTATATCAAAGATTTCAATCAGAATTTGCACAACTAATTGTTAAAATCCATGACTGCTGCTTACATTTTATAAATTAAATGAATAGCTTTCATTCTTGTTGTTATCATTATAATACTATTAGTTTTCCCTTGACTTTCTAATGAAACAGAGGACTTCAGCAGCACATTTCTACATTTTCCTATTCTCCGCCGCCCTTCTTAGCCAATGGTCCATCCGCACGATCTCCCCTATGTCACCTTTGAATGCCCCACTGGTTCTTTCAGTTCGAGTTTCACTAGAGGTCCTGGAGACCGATATCATTCGACGGTCTTCTCAGTATGCGTCCAGTCCATCTCAATTTCCTCCATCACATTTGTTGGGCAATAGGTTATGTATTTTGTTTGTTCCTAGAGTTCCTTGTTATTAATTCCTTCTGGACAGCCATTTGATCTTCAACAAGGAGCCAGCGAAGGCAACTGTTGATAAAGTTTTAGGCAAGCTGTCTGAAATGCCCTTCGTGATACACTAAGTTTTTGACTCATGAAGAAGAACTGACAGAATTAGCAGTGGTGTCTAAAATCCAAATATTGTTCCTTGTGTTTAGTACAGAAGATTTACTCACTGACTTTAAGGTGATGAAGGTCCGTCTTGCCTTTTCGATTCTCATTTTGAAACCTTGATCTATACCGTCTGCTTGTAGTTGAAGCTATGCTTCACGGGCAAGTGAAAGCAGTGACTCCGCTGACAGTGATTGGCACTTGTTTTTGTTGGTTGGTTTGTCATCTTCATTACTTTTGTCTTCAGATGCTTGCTTGAGTCCTGTGTCCACTGCTTCTTCTGCCAACTTGCTGGTTTTCGCCTGTTCGCTTTCGGATTTGTATAACATTGGACATTAATTTTCCAAGAGGTCCAAATCTTCTGGTATCTCCCTGCCGATCTAAACAAAATTCCTGTTTTCTCTCTCCTCATGGTCTGTCACAAGATCCAGTTTACCACAATAATGAATATCACCGAGGATAGTAGGTAGTCTTCTGTTGCTCCCTCCTCCACTTCAAAGACGTGACTGAGATTTCCGTTTTGCATCACTCAACGTGTGACGTCATGATACATCCGTTGAATGAGGTGGATAAAGACTTGTAGCAGTCTGTAGTGTTGAAGTGGTTTCCAAATAAACTCATAGCGATTGCTAACAAAAGCTCTTCCAAAGTCGGTGTAGTTGAGATATAGGTCTGATTGGCATTCTATGCTCTGTTCGATGATGTCGGGTATATTTCCAGTTTAAACCGTGCATGATTTACTTTTCCTGAAAGCAACTTCTTCCATTCGTAGTTCTGAATCCCTGGCATCTTCCAATTTTTTCAGAAGGTCATGACTTAATATTCTGCTGGCTGAGGACAATGGTATAATTCCGCATCGTCATTCTGTGGTAGTTTGACAAGTAATGCAGTTACTAGGTAACTTTCACTCTTTTCAAACTTTCTGCCAAAGTGTTGTGAGAATATGTGTTGACGACTCCTGATCTATTTTCAGTGCTTATTGAGGAATTTCTTCCAGTTCTACTTCATTCTTGACTTGCTTTCAGTAAATTTATGGTACTCAAGACTACCGCTTTTTCGGTTAACTGGTAATCCTGTCACTGCTGGTCATATTTTTGGACGAAGTGCAGGTGATGGTCGGCCCAAGAGCCCCCTGAAGTGATCAAGCCATATAATAAAGTCGACTAACCACAAATTTGTCGAAATCTTCCGTCAAATTATGATTACAGTTCATGTAACTTTATTTAATTTGTTTTAACACTATTCATGATGCAAATATAACTGAACAAGAACTGTTTTGACAAGATATGTCTTTTTTATACATTTCATTGAAATTTTAAATTTGATCGTTTCCCTAAATAAGTTCAGTCCATTTTGCTGAACGACACTTTGGAAATATTCATTTCGATTTCCCTGAGATTTGTCCAGATAAAATCAACAGTAGGAGAGTAGCGCACTGACAAAGATTATGTATGCATACAGTATGTTATGGCGCAGGTGAACACATGACAAACGAATCAACCTCTCAATGTTCCTTTTACAAATTTAATACATTGTCTTATTGTTTTATATGGCTAAGATGGAATGAGAAATTCGAATTTAAATCATGCGAAATGGAGAGATTTTAACAGAGTTAATAAGTTCAAATGAATTGGATGTTGATATAAGAGGGTATTTACAAAAGTGATGAGTTTTCACAAACGTCGACTGTATGTCCTGTCTTTATAATATGTTTGGCAATAGATGAGCTAGATCTCCTGTTCTCACCATTAATGGGTTCTGAAGATTCCATTTGTTTTTCCAGGTATTTAAAAAATACTCTCTGAATTGACGGAAACAGATTATTTCAAACCTATCTGGGGCGTATCCTAAATTTTAAACCATATTTATGCGTTCAAAAATAATTCATCATCACATTACACCTTGTTTTGATAACATAGCAGATGAACTATTACCTCTGCTATTTGGTTTAATGGTCTTCATTGTTATTTTGACCTTGAATAGGTTGATTTAACTTGTCTATTTTCTCACCTCTTACCTCTTTATTGATTTCATACATATTCCTATGACAATTCCGTGTGTGATGGATCAGATTGTTCGAAATGTGCTGAGCAAATACATATTACACGATTCAGACAAATTACTACGTCTTCTTATTGCTTTATCTAAATTCATAAAGGAAACTAATTGTTTTAGATTAATAATTTATTCAAGTGTTGGTTTGTAGGGATTTGATTGGTTACAGGATTTTCTTAATGAGTTGACATTAGTTAGAGAACCATTGGAAAACCTGCTAGGGAGTACTGGACAGCTGTTTTGTCCTAGTTTAGGACTCTTTATCAGTACGCACCCACCAGTGGTTCTCTAACTAATGTCAGCTCATGATGAAAATCCTGTAATCAATCATATTCCTACAAACCAACACTTGAATATCAATGAGATGCTCACTGGCGACTTGCCCTATTCAGGTAGGTAGTTACCTGGCGTTCTAGTAAGAAGCCGTGACCAGTAGAGTGCAGCAGGTCAGGTGTGAGGACAAATACTCGCCGAAGACATTGGCTAGAGGTTGCGCTATATCAAGAATTGGCAAAAAGCTAGAATTCATGGGCCATTAGATCGGGTCCCAGTGGCTTGATGGTATATGAGCTCGCCTTGTAACCAGAAAATCCTGAGTTGGAATCCCGGTGGGTGCGTACTGCTGAAGAGTCCTAAACTAGGACGCCGAAACAGCTGTCCAGTACTCCCAGGTTTTCCAGTGGTTCTCTAACTAATGTCAGCTCGTGATGAAAATCCTGTAATAATTTATTAATTTTATTTTTTTAAATAAGTACAAGATTGGCTGACAGGTCATTTTTGATTGTGAAAAAAACATGAAATGTTTTCAATCTCGCAATAGTATTACTTAGGCGACTGTTATCATAAAATGAGAGAATAAAATTTTCGTAAATTACGACAGAAATTTTAAAATTCCATTGATATTATCAGATGTTGTGAATGTATGAATTACAGCGATGTAATAGTACAACAGGGTGAAATAAGCGACTTAAGCTTCTTCACTCAATATTAAATTCGACTATTAAACTTTCTGACCTGTTATTATCATTAGCCCACATGATATGCATCAATACAAATAGTTTACAAATCAGAATTCAATTGAAAAAGACAGTCCCAGTAGAAGTACTGATATATACGTGTATAAATATACAGAATGGCTCCTCATTAAATCCTGACGCCTGGCATAAAATTGACGTTGTCTAACTAATCACATGAAGCTATGCATTGAATTCTGAAAAAAAAAGTCTACAAAATGTTTCACTGTAATTCTATTATAAAAGTGAAGCAAATATGAATTATTTGCTCAGATAGTTTAAAATATTTTGTCAACTTTCCTATCGCATTAGTCCCTTTCGACCTTAGAAATTTGTTTAAAATAGATAAGATCTGAAACAACATTTAATATTGAAAAAAATAATAACTAACCAATAAATAGAGTCTGCAACTCACTAGAAAGTACTTTTAAATCTTTTTTTTACAGTCAATACAAAATATATTTTTTGAACACCTTTTTCTATAGTTTGGTTTGTAAGGATTAGTTATGTTTTACGAGTTGATCACGGATTGATATCAGTTAGAGAACCATTGAAAACCAGGGAGTACTGGACAGCTGCTGTTTCATCCTAGTTTGGGAATCATCGGCAGTACGCCTTACAAACCAAACTATAGAAAGTTAATCTGATGCTCGCTAGTGACTTGCTACAGGTTGGAGTTTCCTGAGTTCTAGTGAGAAGTCGTGACCAGTGAGGTCCAATTAGATGTCACGTGTGTGGATGGATGTCCCAC